TCTATACATTACAGTAAAAGTAAACAGAAATCTTATTACCCTAAATAAATGCATTCCCCCGTATTTATAAGATGTTGACAGTTGTGTTATCGAACGCGACAGAGTTGTCAAACTAGCTATTAAGCGCTGGATTTGATGCATTGCAATGTAAGCAGCATTATGTACAAAGTACATATTTCCATGATTTCCGTGTGTTTTGTGTATATTATTCAGATACTGATTTTCATCTGTTACAGAAAGGAAAAAAAAGAAAGGACAAGAAACTGATATCAGGCTTGTTAATCCATGGTTCAAGATCCATGGCGCTTATCAATAAAGTCTGCAGTTTAGCTCAGAGTTCACGGAATACTCTTCCCTTAACCTCGATAACGCTTATCCTTTAATAAGATTACGATTTTCTTTTTTGTATTTAGTATCTCCTTTTTAAAGCGTAGTGCAACGTATAGATTTTGGCCTGCAGCAACTATTAAATATTACTTACTACAAAATTAGGACAGGTTCAGAAACTCGTTTAAAACGTGTCCTTCCTCTGCTGATTTATTTGGAGGAGATCAGTCGGAGGTAAATGCAATGTGTGATCAATACATCCATGAATACATTATACACGATATTCTACAAATGACACATTTACCAGAAAACTCCCTACATCCCCTCAATCAACCATGCATAAAAAATTCTGTTCTTTTAATCGTAAATCAGCTCTTGTGTAGCGAAACTCTGCCTCCACTCTAGCGCCTTTATCCCCCCACCCCCCAGCCTCCCATGGCAACACTGGAACGCGGCCTTGAGTCAGTGTCACAGGCCGGACTTCTTCTGCGAGTTTATCGGTGACTCACCCTCACACGGGGATCCTACGTCATTCCCTATCGCGTGATCGCCGACAGGAAACAAGCAGCGGCGGTTGCCTCATTCAGGGGCGAGTGACAGAAGGCGAGACACCGATCTACGACGCCTTCCTGAAGATTTGTTGAAAGGGATTCGCAATAACTTTCCTCGGGTCGTGATATTGTTTTTGTTGTTGTTGTAGTTACGTGTCTGTTTTTTGTTTCTGTTTTTTTCATTCATTAATTCAGTTCGTTCGCGATGTTTTCCTCGGGTCCCAACTACAACAAGCTGAAAACTAATCTGAGACTGGCGATTAGTAGGCTGAAATTATTGGAGAAGAAGAAGACGGAGTTAAATCAGAAAGCCAAGAAGGAGGTTGCCGATTACCTTGCTGCAGGAAAAGTGAGTTATTTTTGGTGTGTTTGATTTTTGAAAGAATTTTTTATTACGGTTTTATTTACAGTGATGATGTCATCGGTAACTGACAGATCGTTTATAACTGTTTTCATGGGGTATAAATGTGAATGAATGGATTCCAGGGGGAAATACCTAATTATATTTGAATCAAAATTAAAATTATTAGTGGGCTAGAGTGTTATTGACGACATTATCATTTTGGCATTTTAGCTGTCATAAAAAGTTAAGTCTTACGGATATATCCACTAGGCCTAATCTTTTGAAACCTCCAAATTCAATTGGAAGAATCAGATTTTCATGATTGGCAATATATAGAAGTAATAAATTGGTGAAATTGTAGATGTTTTTCATCTGTGACATATCCTGCTCAAATTGAAAAAAAATGTTATATGATACAGAAATATGATACTTGACAGTTGCTCCTATGACCTTTATCCTTCACTGTTAAACAATCAATGTTGTATTTTTGCTTAATGTGATGTGCATTTGTTTAGAAAGGAGCCATCTATCAGTAAAAAAAAAATTCCTAGAGATTTAGTTTGCCTGTAGGAAATGACCAAAGAAAACTATACTTAAATCATCAGACCATTCATATAGCATCTTCTGTTGGCACCATAAAAGTTAATCCATGTTAAGTGTCTAATCCAGATTCTAGAGCACATGCACAATGGCAGCATCTAGGATCAACTTTTAATACATCTCTGAACCAGCATTAACATTGAAGTTCAAATCTTTATCCTGCACATCCACAGAATGAGCTTGTTAAACCCACCAGTCACATATTGATACAGGGTCATTAACTCCTTAGGAAACATGGAATTGACTTGACATTAACTTTTATTCTTAGTAATAAAGAAACAAGGTCTGATATTTTTAGGTCAAAGAGGTATGTAAGAATTCCTCAGTATGTATTTTACTAAGTTATGGGATATTCAAACTGCAGATTTAACTCTCAACAATGAAAAGAAAATTCCACAAAGAATTCCTGAGTTTACAGACACAGAAAAGGCAACATTATTCCCAGGTTGGGAAAAGTTTCCCATCTTAATGCATAATAACTTCACTATTTGAAGGACAAACATTCTGATTCATTAAACTTTAGTAAACAGCAAAACCACATGGAAATTTGTTTTCATCCTTGCAGGGCAACAACCTGAAAAAGCTACCTAATAAATATCCCTTGATTACACACGAGGAAGAGTTGTCACATAAGACCCGAATATGAATTAATGTTATGAATGTTTTATGCTTGTTTATCACCTTCAGTTAAATTGCCTATAGGATTTCAAAGGATATTTAAAGCCATTTATATATCTTACTGACACATATATCTCTGTGATATAATGCTACTGCATATCAGTATTACTGACATCTAAATCAGAAATCTTGGCTCTATCATTCTATTCACATATTATACAGTAAAAGTGGTAATTCTATTGGGAATGTGTTTATTTTTTTATTTTTCTGCAGTAAATGTGTAATATGAAAATTATGCCAATTATTATTACACAGATGCCTGTATTTTGGGCCATGTGATGGCAGTTACACATCCAGATCTAATGGGTTAAGGTCACCAATGTTTTCAGATTTTGCTACAGTAGTCAGGCATTTCCATTAGATTATGAGAGGAATAAATTATAAAAAGAGTGGAATTAGCATTTCAGGTTGTGAATGGTATATATTGTTATTTAACAACCTTTATTTTCATTTCAGGTTGAGCGTGCAAAGATCCGCGTTGAATACTGTATCCGGGAAGATTATTTGGTCGAGGGTATGGAGATGACAGAATTGTACTGCGACATGATATTGGCTCGTTTTGGTATCATAGAACAAAGCAAGTGAGTAATTTGTAGAAGGAAATACCAATATGCTGTATAATATTTCTACAGTAATGATTCAGGAAAGCTGTACGTTGCTGATGCTAATTTTTTTTTGTACCAGTGGAGTTCTCATGATGTCCAGTGTCAGCAATTTTATTCTGCAAAAATATTCATGGCAATGATAGTATTTGGCAGTATTTAGGACATTGTGGCATCAAGCCTGTCAGCCAACTGGTAAAGACAAAATAAACTGTAGTCATGTATCTTTTGCCAAGATGGAGCTTGTAGATTCCTTGGTGATTGATTAATTTGTTAATTAATTTATTTATATTTTTTGCTTATGGCATAGCACTTTCAGGGTTGGAGGTGCAACTATCCCTTGATTTTATGCTGCCCTTATTACCAGCTTTCTTAGAACTAATAATTTCCCAGTAATATTTTGGGGCCCTCTGACTGACAGAGCTAATATAACCCCTACAGGTATTGCTGCACACAAAAACTATTATAAATGGACAGTAGATATCAGTAACAATTGATTGGTACTATGATTTGTTAATATCAGCCCAACTTTCCTGAATAATTACCATTTCTGTTTTTTTCCCCCTTTTTTCTTGTGATTTGCTGTAGAATGTGTTGCTTTTACTTTATCACAGCATATTATGTGATGTCTACTTTTTGGATTTATGGATTTATATAAAGTTGTCTGTAATTTCATATGTAGTGGTCAAATTATTAATAGTAATGAATGCCAGCATTTTGTTATTGTTATTCTGTTAATGGGACATATATGTTTGTGACATGATTGAAGAAGGGCAGTGTGAGTTAGAATGTAACCCTTGGGAGGGATTTTTTAAGGGATGGTGTTTGTTTCTTTGTTCATTTGTAGATGAATAGAAATGATTTTCAGAAATTAATAATGAAATAATTTATATATGAAAAGAAATTTGAGCATGAATTTTGTGAAGGAAAATTTTTTATTAGGTCATATGGTTGTTTGTGTTATTTGGTTTAGGGATGATTGCCTATAGTATGGTAGATATTTTTCAATCAATTATACATTCACTCATGGATGTTAGGGAAATTTAACTTATGATATGAAATTTATCTAGTTATATTTAATGAATATCATTGTTTCAGGGAACTCGAAGCAGGTCTTGCAGAGTCCATATCATCTGTGATTTGGGTGACCCCACAGCTTGCAACAGAGGTTGCTGAACTTAAAGTTATCTGTGACCAACTGACACGAAAGTTTGGAAAACCGTATGCTATGGTATGTAAATTTTTCGTGGATTTGATTTTTTTCTTTTTAAATTATTGTGCAGTACCATTATTATGGTATTCATAACTGTGAGTACCATGCAGTTTTGATAATAATTTTTATTTATCTTGGTAGGCCTGTCAGAGCAAGGAAGTGTCTACCATAAGTGAACGTCTGATTCACAAGATGAGTGTCCAAGCACCGCCCAAAATAATGGTTGAAAAGTATCTAGTTGAGATTGCCAATAATTACAACATTGAGTATGAACCGGACCCACAGGTAAGTCCAGTGATTTATTAGTGAGTATTTGGGAATGCTACATTTAGTGCTTTATTTAAAATCTAGTGACCCTTTCAGAACATTGAGATATTACAGTAGTATTAGATTACTTGTTGGTATCCCCATCCCCCCATATTCAAAACCTCAAGAAGAGTAGTATTAACCAAATATTTTTGTTCCCTTTTCCATATTAGGTAATGAGTGATTCCCAATGTGAGTCCCTCATTAACCTTGATGAGAAGAACAACCTGGGTAACAACAGTATCTCGGCTCCAGTGGGCGGAGCGCAGATGAATATTCCTCCTGCAGGATTTGTTGGGTATCCTGGACAGCCAATGGCACCCTTCGCATATCCTCCGGCACAGGTATGGGGGAGCGAGCTGTGTGGGGGGGGGAATGATTTTGTTTTTGTTTTGTTTTTGTTTGGCACTAATGTCTTGTGTGGTGAAATGAGTTGTTTTTTTATGTATTATAATTCATAAAGGGAAGAATAAGACATGAATCATTTAAGAATATTGGCAGTAATATTTTGAGTGATTTTTATTTACAAACCACTTAGATGTATTGATATATATTCTGACAAAATTTTTGCTTGTATAAAGGATAATTTCTAATAGTCTTAGGAGACATAAAGACCTGGGTGACACTCAGAAAACACATAATGAGGGATTAGAACCCAGTAGTACTTGATATTTGAATCTGATCTCCACTGTTCCTTATTTATTTAGGATTTGATTTTATGAATATATGTACTAGGATGAAGTGCTGATAATGGCTAGTTTTGTGAAGTTAAGCTAAAATTGTACTTGTATGTATTTCTTTAAATCATAATAGCAACACAAGAGAAAAGATAGTTATATTGAAAATAAATTAGTTGTTCATCACAGTCTCTAATGCTAGAATATTATTTGCATTTAGAATAGGAAATGCACTTTTATTCTGATTTCATGTTATTTTTGTTTTCATTTGCCATTATTTCTGTCTTTTAGTCTTGTGAGGGTTAAAGTCCTTGATTTTATAATTATATTGGCAAGCTATTTTAAATAATCTATATAGCATTTGTTATTTTTACCCTCTTCTGTTTTAATGAAATGTTGTGATTGGTTTATATCCTATGATATATTTAAGTATTCTTTCTACTTGTTATTTCTATGAATTTCATCAGAATTTGTTCTTTTCTGTCATTAGGCTATGCTTTGCTCAGGGTTTTTGTATAGAGTAAACACTTGGGTCTGTTTATTAATAGCTTTTGTTCGGAAGAGCTGCATCCAGACTTGATTTATTATCAGAGTGGTTGTTCTTCTAGCTTAAAAGTTTTTACAACAGTGCTGTAAGATATTTGCATTCTAGTTTTTGTATCTGTTCTAGAATTATTCTTGAATTATCCTGTTGTATATAGGTACCTTGTTTTCAGAAGGTATTTCATAATACCACAGTTTCAGTCAATATTGCTGTTAGAATTAAGATGTAAATGGAACTGTATATTCAAGCTTAGTGTATAAACTTCATTATAGGGAGAGCTTATGGTTTTTATATATGCTTCAGGCTTTGTTTCTGAAAGAATATATTTTGAGGGGAGAAAATTCCTTTCTGCAAAAGAAAACTGTGTATGAGAGATATCTAATGTAAATACTGTTCTGATGTATATATCATTGCTTTTTTTCTCTTTGGATAAGAGTGAATATTGTATGTATGGAAACTGAAATTGCTTTTTGATGTTTGTTTACAATTAAAAAAATAGAGTAAATGTGCCATTCTTTGGCTTGTAAACCGAATTTGCAGATTTGTTGAGACAGAAGTAGCTTAGTGCTTATTTCCTTCTTTAGGGTCATATTTTTGCTTTTGATTTGTCAAGAAAATTTGTCCTTTTTTGTTCTGCAAGCAATGTTTTTCTTCATCTTCATGTAGTTGTGTATGATGTTTTTGAATATGGAGAATATGAATAATTTCCCTACAAGAAATGTATGCTTTGCTGTTGTATTTCAGTGTTGGGACTATTTCATCATTTAATTGATATTTCAAAATGAAACTTGGCAGACTGTAAGGTAAATTTAGTAACATGTTTATTTATTTATTTTCTTTTTTTCTTTTTTTTGTAGTTTTGACTTTTGATAGGCATTTGCATGAGTATTTTGTTTTGTTTACATTTGTTTTATGATTTGCATTGTTATTAATTGTTATTTGTTGCTTTTAAATGTCCCATGGCTTTAATAAAGAATTCTGGAATATTAGTGCAGAATGCAGCAACTGCTTGTTAAGAAATTCTTTGAAAAGTAAGTGGAGAGAATGATATAAATTTATAATGTAGAATATAAATTCTTTGAAGCTGAAGTGTGATACTCTCCCTCCCAACTATCAACATATTTTGTATAAGATAAGAATTAGGATTAAGTCTAAGGCTGACTGCAGCAATGATAAGAATGAAGTCAACATCATAATCTATGCCAGGTGCCGACACCTTCACAGTCCCTTCAAGAGGGACAGGGATTCCACAACAGCTCCAGTTTGATGCCTCACCCTGACCAAATTCTGCAGCCAGTTCCCGTTCCAGTTCCAGCACCACAGTCACCAGCTACACCAAAGAGTTCATCTCCAAAGACAGGAGGAAAGCTCAGTCTTCCCTCTATTCTAGTCACAAACCCTCAGTCTCTTACAAACTGCTTTGAAGAATTTACCCAAACTGTGGAGGATCACAAACCCGAAATCATAGTGGTTAGCGAGACGTGGTTTTCAGAAACCCGGCCAGCCACCAACTACACCCTCGAAGGATACAAAATGTTCAATGACGACAGAGAGGGCAGGGGTGGGGGTGTGGCTGTGTATGTTCTCGATTGCCTCCACCCAAATGAAGTAAAGCTTGATGCTCCCCCAGAGCTAGAGTGCGTCTGGGTGGAGGTGGATAGAAAGCTGGTGATATGTGGACTGTACCACCCCCCAAGAGCAGCCACAGGACCATTGCTGATGGAACAGATTGTTAACTCCGTCTTGGACATTCGTAGCTTTAGACCAGACATTGCTATTGCTATTGCAGGAGATTTCAACAACTTGCACCAAGGGCGTCTTTGTGCAGGTCTAGAAATGACCAACCTTGTACAAGAACCCACACACATGAACTCTGTTATTGATTTGGTGTTAACTGATCACCCAGAGTGTTACAAGAAACCCATTTTGTTGCCACCGGTGGGGCAGAGTCGTCATCACTGTGTTCTAGTGCTGCCAAAGACTACCACAGAAAGCGATAGTGTCCAAATGGTATTGTGGTTAAACTAGCAGGGGTGTTGAATTGACCTTCTGCAATGTTGCCTATGCTTTGCCTATGGATTTTAAACAATATATTTGTTATGCTTGTTAAAGTGATGGCATTTTTTTTTTCTGCTTACCCAAAATTTGCTTTACATTTAATGCTTTGTTGGATATATAGAATTCATGTAATTTTCATGTATTTCTTTTTGTATTTTTTTTCCAAAGTGGAAGTAAATGTGTTCTGAAACTTAAAGAGAATCAAATTGATTTCAGGATCCTGCTAGCACAGTGTTCAACTTGCCTAGTGTTCCGGGGCAAGCACCATATCCTCAGGCACCATACCCAGGGGGAGCCACAGGGTACAACATCCCCCCAGGTGGACCCCAGAACTTCCCTCCCGGCGGACCCCCTCCCCCTGATCCTGGAGCTGATCCTCTCCCTCCCAAGATCAACAACATGGATGTGAGTTGACCTGCGCCCTACGGTTCATTGGTTTTATGTGCTTGATTATGTCTGTAATTGCTAGAGCTTGCTTGTTTGTGTCCTTTATTTTGATATCCCCATAGGAAGAAAAAAATGATGGATGAAAAGAATATTTATGTATTTTTTTTATGTTTATATGCATATATTGTGTATGTATATATGTATGTTTATGTATTGATGCAAGTACATGTGTAATGTGAATAACAATAGGGAAAAAGAAGGGAAATATAATTATTTCAAGAAGTAAATGAGATTGTTTGAAAAGTAAATAAGAATTAGTAAATGATATACTAGTAACAAAAAAAGAAAAATTGGTGCATTGAAATAGGTGAAATAGATAAAGAAAGTAGATAAGTAAATTTTAGAAAGGAAATTGATAAACATTTTAGAAAGTAAATAAAAGATACATTTTAGAAAGGAAATTAATTAGACACAAATAGTAAAAAAATAAAAATCATGTGCATGTTTGTTTAACACAAGAAGTATTATAGTGTAATTCCTCAGGTAAATCCATACAATGTTTTTTTTTTTATATATAAGAAATTACTACATAATATAGTAAACTGGCTGGAAACATATTTTGATGTTTTTTTATCTGAATCTCTTTATCAAATTTCCAAGAAGTGTATATGTGATGGAAAACTCTTGTTGCAGTTCTGATTAAAATAGTTTAGATAGTATATCCAAATTTTCTTTTCTCTTTTTTATTATAATTATCGTTTGAAGAAAGGGGTTATATTGTATGCTTCTTATATTTAATTTCTGAGGATGTAAACTGAAGATAGCTTGAAGCTGAGCATTTAACCTTTACTTTCTAACTGCTTGCTATATTTGGAAAGAGAAATGAGAGTGTGACTTAATTGGTAGAAAGGTGACAAGAGGAAATAACTCATAATGAATGATTAAACCCAAAACCTCGTCCTTTATGTTCCTTTGAAATGAACCTTCAGTGTGATGAAATGTTTAGTGACTAGACAGATATTTGATCAGTTATTGGTATTTTAGTGTTTCTATTTTTTTATCAGTTTACTGTTGTTTTTTTCTTTTGTTGGTTAATTTTAATTACTTTTTTATTATAGAAGACTAAATGAACCTTTTGTGTTGCATGTCCTGATGAAATGTGTGTTTGTGAGTGGATGACATTCAGACTTATCTTTTTATTAATTTTCTGCTCAGTTATACGATTTGCTTTCTGCTTATTAGAATTATTGTTGATGATTTCTGCTTATTTGAATTATTGTTGATGACCCCCATGGTGTAAAACCTATCCCCAACACACTGGAGTGAGAGAGCCTCACATGCACGCCCGGTATGAGCACCAGCATGATTGCACCCTGTCTTTTGTAGAACGTTAGTGGGGCTGGAACTGGAACCGGAACAGGAACTGGCAAGTGGGATGAACTGCTGGGGCTAGACAACTCACCCCCTCCTCCCTACTCCTCCTTCATGCCTTCTGGGCACACAGGAGACTTCGGGCCCCCTCCCAATGCGCCACCTCCTAGTTTACCTGGGGATGGCCAGCCCGTGCGAAGGGAATTCCCTCCAGATGTGCCACCAGGTGCTACCAACCTCAAGGTAGTTGGATGTGGTTGCTTTACATTTTAGTCTTATGGAATAGCTGTACAATATGGCAATTTTACTTTTAGTTGCGCTGGTTAGTCAGAAAAAGTTGGTTTTATTTTGCATGGGCAATATATACTACCTTTTAACCTTTTGATGCCCTGTCCACTTTGGTTTTATTTTCTTAATTTTGTTTACTCATACATGCCCCTTCCTTGTAACCTAAGAGGGAATTATGAGACTGATGTCACCTGTTTATCCTATTCATTGATTTTTGGAATATATTTTGATGATTATAATATCTATGATAGCAATGATAATAACAGTATCCAAAAAAAATCCTTTCACAGATAATTTTAAAAATGGGCATATCAGTTAAGACAGGTTAGCTAACGTATAAGCAAAATTTACAAAGCAAAACTACATCAACAGTTCATTGCCAGTAAGTTAACTGTATATTTAGTGAGGGGTGACATTAGTTTATCTTGTTAAGATAGGTCACTAGTTTTTATATTTGAACTTGAAGTTATGGGGAGTTTGGTATATCTGATACTTTATCACTGTAGGAATAGTAATTCTGCATTAACAGTTACAAAAAAAAGTTAAGGGTTTTGAATCTTTGTTGTGGAGTTTAAACCCTAAAGATAATGGTTTCAAAATTAATTACAATAAATGAAGTTATTTTTCAAATTTTGTTAGCTTGCAGTTTGATGGGCAAAGCTTCTTGGGGCACTCATTTGTGAACATGAACATGCATTGCCTTAATATGTTCTATACTTATAACTACTACATTAGGTATGATTGGAATATAATCCAAAAATCTTTAATGTAGACACCACATTTTATAGGGATTAATTAAGAGGCGATGCAGTAAAAGAAAACGGAAAAATAGCCACATTAAATAACAGGGTTGAAAGATCTTGGAGTAGTGTAATATGATGTTAATGTAATTTGCTGTTATTTAGTTTTCGTGGTTTTGCATAGAAGATAATCCTCATTTTTTTAAGTAGTGTTATTATTGTTTTATTATTTATTTACTTCATTTTTTTTGCATGGATGTTCAGTTTGCAGTTATGGAAGGAATGAAAAGAGATTCTAAAATGGAAGTTGCATGCTTTATTGCTTAGGATAAGTTTGGAAACTTCAAGATATGTTACCTGCAAGCGGCATTTTATGGATTTTTATTTTTGTTGCACATCATGTATGTTACCTATTGTTAAGATCACTGGAAAGTTTTAATCTTTTGATTGCAAGTTCCCCCAAAGAGGTCCAAGAGTTCATAATCAATCTGGATGGCCCAGAAATGCAATGATGCCAACATGAGAGTCATCATATGGCAAGATTTATTTATTTATTTTGTTTCCCTCTTTTAAATCAAAAGATCAAGGAAAAAATAATACACATGCACAAGTGAAAATATGTTGTGGGTAGAATTTGATTAGTTTTTTTTTTTTTTTTTTTTAATTGAGAAAAAAATGGAAATCTAGCCATCCAGCTTAAACAGAAAAGGTGGGATACTTTTCCAAAATATGCACTTCATTTTTGGTCAGAGTTTGTGTTACAGAACTTTTACAGATTACTTGGAAGAGCACATTCTGATTCGTTAATACACTCCGAATAATAAAACTCTAGAATTAGCAGATGCAAGGTTTGGTAGGTATAGTCAGGTATATGAATGCATTAGTCAGGTATATGAATGCATTTATACCTATGCATGTATGCATATACACATAGAAATTCCTATAATCTCCGAAAAATCTTAAAAAAAACAACAACAACCAATGATTGACTTTCCAGGATGGTGACAAGCCTAAGCCAAGTCCTCGTTCAAAGTTCGGCGAGGGCACGAATGCTGAGTTCAACCTCCCAGACTTGCCCACCATACCTGACCTACCCAGCGTCCCAGGCTCAAATACTGTCCAGAATCCCAACGAAACAACAGAGGATATTGATTTCGACGACTTAACGAAGAGATTCGAAGAGCTGAAGAAGAAGAAATAAAGTTTAGTTCGCCTATGTAAAGCAGTACGACTTGATACATTTTCCTTAATTTTGAGCAAGGTCACTGGACACTAGTGCACAGTTGTCATTAAATATGCTGTGGCCTTTGTAGAATGTATGATGAAAAAGAGCAAAACTATTGTTACTACACACTTCCTTTTTTTATCAGGCTACAGATAAGTGTTTTTTTATTATGCTTTGTTAATCTTAGGTAAAATCAGGACATTTTCTTAATTCTGAATTCTTTAACTTTGCAGGACAAAGATGTTATTTTTCTTAGCTGATAAGCTCTGTGTAATTATAAATTAGAATGTAAATGGTTTGTCTGAACAGCCATGATGTAATTGTGTTTTATACTTTCAGATCTTAGTTTTCAGTTGCTTGGCTATTCTTAATCAGTGCCTTGCTGTATTTGCTAAAATTTTCGCAGAATATCACATGAAAAAATAAAGGATGGTCACAATAATAAATATTACCAAAATTATCATGATAATACAAATTTATAAGTACTAATGTAAAAATATTGATCACATTCATATATATATATATATACACACACATACCATGTAAAATTGATCGTTCCTAAAAATAAATGATTATAACAGATTGCTTAATTATAATTGTATCTCTAATCACCTAGTTTTTGTTTTCATTGATACTAATGTTAAATATGTGATCCCAAGATGGGATCTCAGCGTCCGTATTTTGCCTAGATATCTTTTAAATAATTCCAATTTTAAGAAATCATGAAACTGTTTCTTTTGTGAATCTTTGTTGAAGTTTATTTCTCACTGTTTCTACAAAGAATTATATTTGTGGTGACTTCTTAGTACACAAAGGCATATTTGGCAAGGTACTCCTTCCTCTTGCCTTGCTTTACAGTGATTAAGAAAATGATGGTTTCTTTTCTTTCATAGTAGTTCCATTACAAATTATATGCAGAACCATCCACTGATTGCTCTTCTGAACAACATAAATTTAATTTAAAGGTAAAGAATATGCATAAAACACTAATAATTACTCATATGAGACACGAGTTGAATGATGAATGAAATAATCAAAGGTGTTATCCAGTAAGATATGCAAAACCCCTTTGTTGTAATGTACTTCATTATGAAGGCTTAACTCATTCACGCCGGGTGTCACGTATATGTGACGGGCCCACTGTGAGTTTACTTGTTTAATTGTTTTCACACATGGATGGCTGCACTTGTACTTGTACTGCCTGTCTCGTCTGTTTACCCTTTTCTTTAATTTACGAAAATATTATACGTTATCTTATTTTGCTGTTACTAATGATCATAACATTATAGTAATTATAATGTTTATAATAAAAATAACCATCGATATTCATAGTACTGGTAAAAAATACATTTTCCCGCCAAATGAAATCAGGTAAGGCAGTGCCATCTAGTGTAGAGAAATTTCATAAAAAGTATAAAAAATGAGCACAGCATTTTCCCCTATTTTTTGTTCATTTTTACCCGGCGCGAATGGGTTAAAAGGTAAAATAGTGTGTTTGACACACACTATGCTTCAGGGGTCCCTGGTCCAAGAAAAATCTAAGGAGAATCTCTAAATTCAGTTTTCTCTTTTAGATATGTTACACCACCAAATTATTATTATTATTATTATGATTATTGTTATTATTATTATCATTATTATTATTATTATCATTTTTTTTTTTAGGAACCAGAATGATAGGCTTAAGGAGTGAATGAAAAGAACAAATTATTATTATTCATTTTTGCTTATTAATACTTTAAGTTTGATGAGGTTCTGTGGCATACAACTGTCTATTGACTCTATCTCTATTACTTTTTCCTCTTCAGTGTGAGTTTAGTGTTTGAGAATGTGTGAGTGATTGAGTGAGTAAGTAAGTAAGTAAGAGAGAGAGAGTGAGTGAGTGAGTGAGTGAGTGAGAGTGCATTCATGAATTGCTAAACATGGTGAGTCTGATACAATCAAGGTTTACATATTGGTATGGAAAGATGAATAGCAAGGCTTATCAAGTTTATTCATCCTAAAAAATAACAAAATAAAATACCAACTCTAAAAACATTGTATTCCAACAAAATTTAACGAAGTAACATGATGGGACTCTTCTACTTCTGAAATTTCATTGTCTATGTCCACTATCATGTGAATTATCATACATAATCTTTGAGATTTTTTCTTTTCCCTAAGAAATGCTGCTCAAGCCCTGAAATGCTCTGGAAGTTCAATGTTCACATGAAGAACGTAAACCTATCATTGAACAATACACTTAAAGAGACATATTGCACCTTTTACATAGCAAGGAATATGAAGTTACATACTCATTTCACCTCTCAAGTTCATACTGCTAAAGTTGTCCATGCAAATGCCCTAATATAATCTACAATATGTCTAAGTACCACATATAGATTATTATGGCAATGCAGTTTACTTTAACTAGAAATTATTCTTAAACAGGAATATATAATATCTGGAAGGAGGAAGAGATACAAACTGCAGTAAATTGCCTGAACAGAATACAGACCTTATTCCCAGAACTTTTCCCTTATCCTACTAATTCATAACTTGGAAGAAGATGCAATAGAAGAACAAGAACAAGAACAAAAGAGAGGGAGAAAAAAAAGGAAGAAGAAAGAAAGAAAGAAGAAAAACAAACAAACAAACAAACAAAAAAGTGAAAGCTATAAATGAAGAATAACAGTATTTAAAATGATTTCATTATGATCTGGATGACTAGAAAAAGAAACATTTTACTCCCTGAACACTATATGACATAAATGATGCTAAATATAAAGGGCAAAAAATAAATATGTCACAGCCTATATGCTTGTTGCTGAAGAAAGTCACATACAGCTAAAATAATCACACCAATTTTTATGCAAATGCAGAATTTCTATATGACTCATCATTATACATATCTATTGTTTTTTTCTTTTTTTTTTGTTTTTAAGAATAAAAAAACATACATTTCTCTTTTATATAAATTTCTGTTTGATTCTTTCAATAATCATAGATGATATATCTTGTGAGTTTCTGTCCTTGATGAAATTAACATAAATATCAATTTACAAAGTATTTCATTATCCCATCCAGACATCCAATTTTGTATCAATAAAATCTGCAACAAGGCATTATCTGACTTGATAGAAATTAAGAATTCATTCCTGATATACCAGTACAGTATATTATCTGCAATAATATCAACTATACTACAACCTTGATAGTCTACAGGCCATTTAACAATATGAAGTTTTATACACCTATGATTTAAACAATAGCAAGGAACTATTTTGGAAATAGGTTATAAAACCTTAGGGCAGTCATGCACATGGATGCTTGTTGAGCTCTGTAAACAGTAACATGGCTCTATCTTACACTATCAACATTTTGCTATTTTAACAACGGAGGCCATATCATAAATGGTATAAATGTTTCACTGCCTTTTCTTAAATTATTTGTTTTTCAACACAGAAAAAAAAAATATATTGTTAGAAAAATGCTATAGTTACAGATAATGTTATCTGGCAGATACTGAGGAAATTCAGGAAATTCTAGTAAGAATGGAAACATCTATACAACTGTTATGGTAATAATGCAAATGCTGCACCACTGGAATTTGAGGCTTACGTGCCAAAAGGAGTCAACCCATAAACATAATACCATAAAACAATCCTTGTATTACTGTAACTGAGAAATACCAGAAATTAATGCATCTATATAGCATTTCCAGTAAACTAGTCCTCATAGACCATAACCATCACAATCATTTCACTTTTCCAGTAACCAAGATTGGTCTTGCTCTCTCCAAGATATCCATATTGGGGTCTAATGCTCGACCAAGACCTTCCAGAACAAAGACTGCCAAGACCACAGCACTGAAGGCAGATTCAAGTCGCACCTGATGATGTAAGAGGATCTTCAAGACTTGTTGAAGCAGGACACCCACATCAATCTGTCAAAAATGTAAATCAGTATGATTAATAATCCTGTAAATTTATCTACAGTACAGCGTATACTGAGCACTTTAATAGAGATAATGTTCATGGTAAAACATCTTCATCTGAAAAATAGGACTAGTAAATTTTAGTGTTTTCAATTTCTCTGAGAACACTTACCTGTGATAATGCTATTGTATCTTCCCTCGCTGAATTCACAAGGCTTGTCATCTCTGCTTTGAAGGCTTCAGGGTCCTTACAACAGTGTTCACTATTATTGAGGAACAAATCTGCCACAGACTCACCCTAAAAAACAATTATTTAGAAACAAAAATTAGCATAGCCAATAGCTTCAGTAAATCTGCAGGCACACAATACATTAAGATGCTTCTGCAATACATAAAAACATGCTAGCAAAAGCATATAGATATCACAACAACTTTAATGTCAGACTCATCCTCCACTGGTGGTCCTTGACTTTAGTTCAAGCTGTTTATAATACCAGTATATATACACTGATCTACAACAGGAGTTTCTGATAAGTATGCTGTGTGGACAGACCTTTTGAAATGGCAATAATACTTACATCACCAAAAACCACTTGTCTGAAGACAGCCTTGAAATTGGCTAAGTCTCTCTCTTTGAGCCTGGATGCAACACCACAGTCAAGGAGGCAGATGCGCAGTGGATTTGGGTCCGGCTCCACATGCATGACGAAAGTGTCACACCCAACATCCACCATCATGAATTTGACAACATCTCCTGAGGCGGCATTGCTACCCTCTTCCTTGGCACTGTTGTTCTGAACCAAGATGTTGCCTGGATGCAAATCACCATGAACTAAGTTGTCTACGAAAACCTGTACAGGGAAGACACCCATTACTTAATGATCACTGAAGAATCTAACACTTTATCATGTGCTGGTAACTTACATCCTTACTTACCATTTTTAGCAATGCATCAACACCAATCTCTGCTAAACGTTTCTTAAGTTCAGCAGGTTTGTCTTCTCCTGTTGTGCCAATGAAATCAATCATCTGCTCTCCCTCTTCATATGTTTCTACGAGCACCTAATAGTATGAAATAAATAAACTATAAAGGAGGAGATTTGTACAATACAAATACACACATCAGTCCACTGCAGTTTTACAATGAAATGAAGAATATTAAATAACAATGATAGAGAAGAAAATAGCTCTATTAGCCAATGCTCTTGTAAGATCCAAACCCTCATCTTACTGTTTTCAGGATCAGTTCTACTACAGAGAACCTTAATAATGATTCTTTAAATATGACATGCAGAATATGTAATTTTTCCTATAGATTACAAACCAAAGAACAAGGAAAGTCCATTTCCTAAGAATTAATGATAAGAAATAGAAGGTTAATTATGAAAAATACTTAAGTCTCTTTTTACAACCAACTACCCTACACCACGGCTCTCTTCCTTTACCTTTCTTGTTACATATGGTTGTAGTATTCTTGGAAATCGGACGTAGGGATTATCAGCAAAATTTTCAGCAAACAACTCCATATTTTCAGCTTCCAGTTTGAGATCAATCTGAAAAGCAACATCATTTTATCAAACTCACTACTTAAAAAAGAAAGGGGAAATGATTTTATCCTAACCATGGAATAAAATCTGTTACATAAAACAACAACAACAAAAAACGTGATGACTC